GATTTTCTATTAATTTAAAGCAAGAAACAAACAGCTACAAAACAATTTCCACAAAAGCAAACAAGAGACAAAATATATTTTTATTCATTTTATTCTTCAAACAACATAGCCTCTGAGAAGAGGGGTTAGAAGAAGAAAAATTTCTTCTTCACCACATGATTTCATCAACATAAATTAAATGGACAAAATTTGTAACAAACTTGTTGGCAACAACTTTACAAAAATACAGACATGGTATGGGCAGTACGGTGAACCACATACATAAGTTCACACTAGTATGACATGGAATTTTTGCAGAACAGCCGCAAGTTCTTACACCAGGTCCACAAAAATCTGGCACAGGAAGCAGAATAGTTACTAATCTACTAGAAACAACTGTTTTATTTGCTAATATTGGCGAGTAAGTAGTTATCCTTTAAGAAGTAGCTCATGTATCAATGATATGAGAAAATACAATACAAGTAAAAGCAATATGAAATTAGCCCTGAGCTAAGGGAAATGAATGTCTTGACTTTTCATATACGAATTTCATAATATATTCATTTGAAATTGAAGAAGAAAAAACAAAAAAGATAGTGTCCTTAACCCCCTTGGCTAGTATCAATGCCAAATGTCTACTAATGATAACTTGGAAAGAAAAAGTTGCTTTATTTCATAGTAACTAATTAACAAATTTAGCGCCTCATGCCTTCTCCTCAAAATTAGACATAGTGAACCAGAAAGTAATGGAAGTTAACATCTTAGCAGCTAAAATGTTGGCTTCAGTCACAAAAGCAATATAATAAATTTATGACATGTCTGCTCTCAAACCATCCACTGAATTTCAGGTGACATCACTTTTGATTATTTTAAGATGCCACAAGCAAAAGAGGGTTTATGTTCTGAAGGAAGCAAAGATGGAGTAAGGGTATACATCTTTTTAAGGCTGTAAACCTGGGGATAAGCCAAAACTTACTCATGAAAATTGTTCAGTGTTTGTTGAGAATCTGCTTGTTCATAGTTTGTCAGTGGGTAAGAGAATTTAGTGAAGTGAGACACACTGGGTCTTTTTTTTGGAAGACCCAAGTTCTGGCCACCAAAAAAACTGTCAATGATCGACGTTATCCAGTCTCATACTGTGCAAGATCTCTATACCTCTATAAGAGAACTTAATGAGACGTCAGGACTTTCGTTTGAGTTATAGTAAAATACACTTGAAATAGTCCAAGACGGTCACTCACTGTCAAGCAAAAAAGTGGTTGTCTTAGACAGGTGGACATCTTTGACAGGGTTATTATAACATTTAAAAACGTCAGAGGGGGTCGGGGTGGGAAGGGGGAATGAGAAGTGGTCTTTTGTACAAATGATTGTCTGATTGTTTAGGACAGGTGGCCATTACTGAAGATTTGACTGTATTGTGGAGAACTCCAAATGAAAAAAAAATGTGTGCCTTTTGGATACCCTATTTACGGAGAGACAAAAAGATAGAGGGTGACTAGATGTGCTTCAGAGTTGCTCAACACGTTTGAATCCCACGAGCCCAAGCAACATACAGATATTGTCATAGAAGCGGTAGACAAAAAATGGTTTCCCTTTTTCAGAATTCCATCAAAACTGCTGAACTGCAAGTGAATCAATGTTTTGCGTCCCGGGAATTCAAAGCAAAAAGAGACTTTTTACCTTCTTAAAAAAAAAGTACAGTGGTCCCCCTATAGCTGACATCATGCTGTATAATTACTACTATTATAATTATATCACAGACTACTGTGACTTATTTAGACAGTATACGCAAAAGGTACTGTCCCAGCTGAAAAAAAAAAGCCTTTGATGAGCAGAGCCCAAAGCTTGGAACATCTTGCACAATACCCCTCCACCATAATCCAACAACCCCCCCCCCCCCCCACACACACACACACACACACACACACACACACACACACACACACACACACACCCCCCCCCACACACACAAACACACCATACAGTGCATACAAGAACAAGGGATCCAAGTTTTTGCCTCATTCACCCTTCAGTGCTGACTTAGCTCCCAGCTGTCACTTATGGTTATTTCCTATTCTGAAAGATATAAGCTTGCTGGATGAAATTTTGAACGCATTCAGGCAGACCTAGTAGTAGTAGCATGAGCTGTCAAATTCAGAGCTGCAAAGCATATCGGAGGCTGGTTACCACTGTACCGTCCAGAAGTGGCTGTGGAGGCCGGAATCCTATAATTACTATGTCCAGGAGGTTATTTTGAGGGACCATGAAAATTTCAGGTCTGCAGAATTAAAAGTTTTTGAAATATATATGTATTTCACAACTTCCATCACTTTTTGATCTGCTCACTTAAACGCAACAAATTAATCATGAGTATTAATCATTTCACTGTTCCCCTATACCTAGGCAATAAGAAACAAGTGAACTTCTCATCACTCAAAACACTTAACAAAATAATCCGAGAGACAAGCCAAGTAAAATCAAGCTAAGTACAGCATCATGGCAATAAGAAGGTAAAGAGAAACAAGCTTACAGGTTTAATGATGCAAGATCTTTCACATATCCACTGCTATTTAACATAAGACAAAGCAACACATTTAAAATCAACATACTGTAAGTTTTTGCTGTCAAAATAATGCACTGAACTATATCCATCTTGACTCAAGTGCACTGAACAAAATACCTTTCTCCATAAATGACATTTTTGTCAAAAGAGAAAAACTAAGTAAAATCAAGACTTGCAACAGTAAGAATGAGGCACAAATGCAACTATATTACTATATACACTCGAACTGTGCCAAAAGATGAACTGAGATACACCGGGGACACATTAAATGAACACTTAAAATGTGACACTTTTTGGGTGGAGAGGGGAGGAGCCTATTATGCAATATCAAAGCAGTTCTTTGCCGAGTAATCGCTTAATCCCAAACATAAACCCATAAGTTTCTGAAATTCCAATTTTAAGGTCATCCCCCATGTTCAGTAGACATTCTCAAAACATTTCATTCCCAAGCAACTCCTAGCATGAACAGTTCTTAACAGTTCTTATATATTTAAGTTCTTGTCAAGTACAAGACATACTATTTGTTTATCATACTACCGATACTGCAATGCTGGGTGAGCTTTTCTGACTAAACTGTATGTTTAATTAATGTGATACTGGGAAAGGCTAGTGAAAACTTGTCAGCTATAGCCCTATCTATTCTTTTTCAAACAGAAAATTGAAACTAATGAAACCCTCTACCAACATCTGTATGATCTCCTGAATTATTCTTTTTGATCGTTAGTCCAGAATGAAGTTTCGTGCTAAGAAGTGAGAAGAAACTCTTGGTCTCATCGCATTACTTCAGGAGTAAAGTTGTATGTGTAACCAATCAGTGTTTATACTACTAGTCTGAGAGGGCATTGTTCTTGATGCAAGCTCAAAGTCAAAGACAGTGACATAAAACCCCATTCTTCCCATTGATTAAGTACATGTATAATCTTTTCAGCGTTTTACTACTCAACTGTGAATCAAAATCTGCAGATAAAGAAACCCCTCACTTATATTGTATCTATACAAATCAAGGCAAGAAAAAACAAAAACAAAAAACACCCCCACCAAAAAAAACCAACAAACCAAACCCAAACAAAATAAAAACAGACGAAACAGGCTCACATCTTTTTAAAAAATCACAACAATGGTAAAATATGTACTGATGCTTAATTCTATACCACAGCGGTAAAATTAATATCATTGTCATGGACAGATCTCTCGCAATACAAAAGAACCAAACAATGGCATAGCTAATTATGCTATTTTCCCCATTCACCAAAACATGTTATAACCCTTCAAAGTGGTCCAGCCTCATTGATGTCCATTTTAAATACAATGAGCGAAGATCACACATGATTGAAAAATCAAGAAACAGATAAAGCACATTAAATTAACTTTGCCAATAACTTTAGTCTGACACAAACCCCAAAATATCTTCATAACATAACACTTTCACTTCAAGTTGAAAAAGTAAAAGATTCTTGAAAAACATTTCTTGAAAAAAAATCACTTCTAATGACAGATGGGTTATTTATAACAATTCAATGTGTGCGCCAGTTACAATAAACTCAACAAACATTTCTCATGCAAAGTATTTAGCCTTTCCTCTGAAGAAAGTATACCGTTTTAGTGTCTCTTTTTATGAGCATACCAAAAGTGTAAAAAATCAATAGCAGCAACTACTGTACAGCATCATTCTTTGCCTTAAATAATATTTAAAGGCTTTAGGACCCAGGAAGTATTTTCTAATTAGTTGGGGAATGTAATTTCCGCCTCAAAGTTTTCTGTTCTGACTTTACTTGATAACTCTCAAAACAGACCTTCTGCTTTACTTTATACCCAGCACTCTTTGTATTGTTGTGACAATTTCTCACTGAAGAAAGTAGAGAGCATAACTGTTTCATTTTAGTAAGACTTTTACAGCAATTGCAACACAATAAGGTCGTATAAGTGCAGAAGATTAGAGGTGTTAAGAGAGTTGAAAGGAAGAGACAAAGACAATAGAAGGCGTTTGATAATAAAGAAGGAGCAAACCACACCACAGCACCTGCCAACCACCTACAGAGCAAAGAAGAAGCAGACCACACCACAGTGCCCAGGTAGGTGATTGAAGGTTGCCTCAATAAGTCTTACTTCTATATTTTGTCTCTGTTCTTTCTGTCGGTCTTCCTGGCCTGGGGTTGTTGTTTTTTCTGTTACAGTACACTAATACTAAATTTATGTGACTGCAATCCCCCTAATGTACTTCTTACAGCTCAATCAAATGAGAGCGCTTACTTAACTGTAACCAGGAAACTAATCCACATTTTAGGGGAAAGATATATTAGGATTTGTACAAACAGTAGTGGGGTTTTGAGGCAGGTGTATGTTAGAGGTTTGTTTGTTTGTTTGAGTAAAGAGGAGCACATCGACACAATAATGGTAATTTAATGCTGGAAAAAAGTAAGACAGACAGACAGACAGAGAGAAACAACAGAGGGGAAAGTAAAGAAGTAGGACCTACCAGTGGATCCCCCCCAACCACCCACGTGTGTTAGAGAGAGAGAAGTGGAATATTATTACAACACAACACAAAGAACAAATAAACAGCACCTAATACCATCAGCCTATTTTTTAAAAACCTGTAAGCAAAAAAAAGTTTTATGAAAGTGAAAAAGTTACAGCCATTTATATCATGTTCATTCTTCTGAATAAAAGTCTAGTCTAAATGCATTCTCCGAAAATTGTTGGTCAGAAAATGACATACAACAGAGAGGTTGCTGTTTTATTGTGTACCTAAAATAGGTAGATGTGAAGAAGAAAGTGTCATAAATGTTGTTGTTTTTTGTCTAAGCGATCAATGTGTACACTAACCATTAAATAGCCATTTTCTGCAATAGGAACTCGGATAGAAAGCATTAATTCTCTTTCTTATTCTGAGAACAACTGAAGTTAGTGCCCTATGAATTGTAAAAACCTTCCACCATGCAAAACAAATCATTCCATCTCCATGGCCACATGTGAGTCTGTTTTTGTACACACAAATGCACTATTTGCCTCTGTCACTGGTTCCGCCACCGACATCTTACACTTCACAATATCTGAGGGGAAAGTATCCGCTTCCAGTTTGACAGCCGCTGATACAACAGCCGTCATCACAGATCGATTTTTAGGCGTTGGATTGGACAAGAGGGCATTGTTCAACACATTTTTAATGAAATCTCTGTTTTGAGGGTTTTTTATCACAGACTTGAGGAAACTAAGAGCCTCCACTTTGAATTGATCCAACTCTTTCTGGAGTTCTCGGTTCCGTTTGATCAGACTGCCTGTCTTCATGGCCACTTCCCAGAGACCAGATTTATGTAAAGCATCCGCCGTGCGCTTAAAGCGGTGCTCCTTGTTAGGAATTGTCTTAACACCAGTCCGTTGAGATCCTGGCATTGAGCTAGGCCTCGTCTGTTTCTGGTGCGCGATTTTTGCACAAAGTTCTTGGCCAAAGCCCGGTTGGAGAGTGCTGAACGGCTGATGCTGTTTGTCTGCCCGCGGTGACATGTGGCCGGCCGACAAGGCCGTTATAGACGAGTTCGGTACGTGGCCCAGAGGTAAAGGCAGAATGTCTGATGCTGGCAATGGTAAAGGTTGAAACTCTGGCATGGTGAGCTTGTCGGTCCAAGGAGTGAGGCCGACGTAGCTGCAGGGAGGACTGTGTTGGGAGTCTTGCTGGAAACAAACAGAGACATCAGTGTCAGTATTGGAGGAACAATTACAATTTCACCTAATGGCAATCATTCATAAAATAATAATAAATAGAACAAAAGCAAAAGAGATAATGACATAGAATTTAGAAATCAGAGGGACAGAAAAAAAAAGAACCTGCGACCATTGGGGAAAAAAACAAGAGAGATCAAAGAGAATTTAGAAACCAGAAGGACAAAAAAGAAAAAAACCCAACATCCCGTGACTATTAGTCATGCTGAAACCTATTTTCATTTGAAATTCATCCAAGACGAATACCTAAAAGATAATCTACGATAGGGAACCAAAGGGGCCAGTCCCTCTTTCACTTACACATGTATAGTACCCTTTACCTTTCATAACCAAAAGAAAACAAAATAAGCAACAGCCAATTACTAAAAGTAAATTGCTCAGGGGACTGTTATCAAATAAAACTTTAACTTAAGCATAAAAGTGATCTAGTAATGCATGAGCTTCTGTCTTTCAACATTACCTCAAATAACAGTAGCAGGCTCCTTTCAACGTTTATGTAACAATCTTCAACTTTCCAAAAAGTATTTCATTAGCAGCATCTTAACCTCATCCTAACAGCTCTACATCAATAAGGCAGGTTTCCCAATTTGGGTGCCCAGCATTTCCCAAAGTTGACCAAATATGAAGTGTTATAAAACATGACATATGAAATACTGTTCGAAAGCTTAACATTTCATGATACTAGAAATGCATATTTTATGAGCGTCAGCTCATCATAGTGTATGTAAGAGACCTTCAAAGTTAACTCCCCTTGATTCTCACTAAATAAGAAGCTTACTGAAATCTTTAAAAACCTAAGACAAAATTGCTGCCTCCAAATAAAACCATTGTACAAGAGCATTTTCTACTTCCAATATCATTATCAGTACAAAGACATTTAGAGAACCCCTGGGACCAAATCAAAAGTACAAAACAAATCTAATTCTTCAATAAAACACACATTTTCAAAATATGACCCATCTGTTTCCAGCGGGCCAAACAATATCAAACGCAAAGAAAAAAAGACCTGTTTACTTACAGATGCATTAGAGGACACATCACCGAAGCCAGAGTCTGATTTGTTGTTACTGTTTTCCTCAAGGAAAGATCCGGCAGTGGATTGTGTCATCTGGCTGTGGATCACATCCGTCTTCAGTTGACCTGCCAAGAGTGAATCAGGATAACTTGGCTTCATGCCTTCACCTGAAGAAACAGAGTCAAACTTACATTTAAGATCTATGGCAATGCTGTGAAAAATACTCAAACCCTTTTATTAAATTAAAAGAAAGAAGAAAAGGAATTCTTTTCACATTACCTTTCTAGGCCTATCTTTTTTTGTGTTATGTTGTTCCCTTGCATTTTTTGTTTTTACATTGTAGAATACATTATCAACAGCTTATTGTAACTGTAAGACTCCGCCATACGTCATTATGAAAAGTGACATATTATCATTTATTATGATGCAGTCCATGTTTAGAATTCTTACATGCCTATTTGTCAAAAGCAGAATTTTTTAAAATGAAATTCCTAATTTAATGGTCAAAATGTAAAACACTATGTTGTTGACTTGACGTTTATGATGCATCAGCATGTAAACAGCAATCGTTTGATGAGAACAGACTAGAAATAGTATATAATACTGAAAATAAGAAGGAGTAGGCCACACAAGAGAACCCACTTTCAAAGTTTCTGTACTTTTTATAAAGAGGTGAAAGAAAGGTTCAGTGATTCAACTTAACCCATGAAAACCAAGGAAATGCAAAATGAACCTATGAAAAATGTTTTTCACGTGTTTTAATTTGATAGAAACGTAATGACGCAATGTTAATCTTTTTCTGTCAAAGGTGAGAAAAATACTATTCAACACACTGCGCATTGTGCTACCACAGGGCATCCCATTTTATTTTGCACCCCACAACTTTCTGCCTCATTGTCAGCAAGTTAAAAAAACTATACCAATGGGTTGTTTTTTTTCCCACATTTCCAGGCAGAAAAAGCAATTTGCATAAATTGAACCACAACCAAGAAGGGATGGCAGGGGTAAGTAGCAGTGTAATAACATAAGAAATGTATTCAAAGAGTATCAACAGCTCTAATTATTAATAAATAATGTCTCGGTTTCATATAAAGAACAACAAACAGAAAAGAAACACTTACCTCGACCACCTCCAGGGTCCCCAAGAAAATGTGTGGAAACTGAACTCTCATCTCCACTACTGCTGCTGTTCACAGAGGGTGGAGTGAAGCTGGAGGAGTTCGAACCTCCGGGGAAAAAGTTGACAACAGTAGATGAAGAGTCTTTTGGGGTTAGAGATCTCATATTCTGACAGCTCTGAGGCTGTGAAGGTTGGCCAAGGAAGGAAGCAGCATTTTCACAACCGTTCAAAGACAAACCTGTCTCAGATTTGCACAAAGATGTATCAGTCTTGCTCAAACCAGAATGGTGGCTTTGGGCAGCTAAAGGGTGATTTGATTCATGAAATGACTCCGTTGCACAAGAAAGTTTAGGAATCATATTATCCTCATGAGCAGCTGTGTTAGTGTCACTCAACATAAAAAGTGAATTCTGATTCAGCATCGAAGGGTTTGAACACTGAACATCTGAAGAAAAGATGTGTTTAATGTCTGAGACTTTGCTGTAGCTCTGGGACTGAGGATTGACCAGTGAGCTTGAATGAGACGTCTGGTGGTATGAAGCAACAACAGAAGCAGGACTATCACTTTTAATCTTCGGCGAGAGGTGAGATAATGAAACCGAAGCTGCCTGGAAGCCCCTGCATTGTACTTCAGCTGGGTGATAAGCAGAAGCTGTTGGACATTCGGCTGGGCTCGCCAGGAGATTTTTTGAGCTGAACGGCGTATGAGAAGGAGAAAACATGGAGCTGGTGTTCTGTGGGCTGGCTCTGCTGCCGCTTAGTGAGTAGCTGGACATGTTGGGGATGCTGTGCAGGTCCTTCCTCTGAGAAGGTGAGAACCCAGACCGGATGTTGCCTACTTCAGAAGTATGAGGAGAAGCTGAAAGGAAAAGATTTTAAAATGTGTAAAAATAATGGTCCACAATTTCACCAGCTTGTATTTATAAGTATTATATATTACTTTATCAACAGCTGCCAAATTTTATGAGTAGCATGGTAATGAAAATTAATACTTGGTGGGGGTTTTTCTTCTTCTCTGATAGTGCTTTACCCAGAATGTTCTATTCTAGTAAGGTCTAAAAATCATCATAATATTTACGCAAGTTGTGACATGTTTAGACATTGATTTGCCGAGCAATTAGTCAAAATCTTACAAACTCTTATTAAGTTCTGAACATGGGTACAATAATTATCCATAGAACCATGAGTTATATTGAATTTGTACTCACATGAAGACAAAGAAGAAAACTGATACTTAAAGATGAAACGAAGACAAAATTTCACTGCAAGAACACCCCTCCCCTCCTTTTTCAAATGAAAAATAATCATATGTTTGCAAAACTGAAGCTTCACTTCCAGCAACTAAAAAAAAACCCTTATTTTGACTGTTCTTCATTACTTTCTTTGGAAAGAACATTACCTTAAAGCAAAAAAAAAAAGAAAGATTTCTTCTATTCTATTCTCTATTACGAACCATTGTTGTGTGATAAGCCAGTAATTCTACTAAATGGTATACCACAATTCAATAACTGTTAATTTTACTTGCTCTTTCAGAGCATGTGGCTCCTTGAGGTTAAACCTGCACACATGGCAGCCAACATCTCCACCAAATAACACTGATAAAACCTAATAAACCACAGTGTGTGGTGGCCTTAAACATTCCATCAGCCTCAAAATGGGATCAAACAATGTGCATATATATGAGATATTGGCACGTCTCCTTAAAAAAAGACCATGTGTTCACAAGATGATTATTATGCACAATAGATAAAGCCGAAATAGCTTTCTTTTGGTACCAGTTTTGATCAGAAACGTGGATACATTTTATTTTTAAAAACAACAAATTTTTTCTCTAGCTCCTCAAAGAAGTTGCTTTCTGGGCTTCAAAGATTTGAGCAGCTTGCCAATAATGTGTGTGTGTATGTGTGGGAGGGGGAGGGGGGACAGTCATGGGGTTTGATATTTTAATAACACAAGAATAGAGAAATACTGTAATTTTCTATCTCTCTACAATAGTTTCACTAGGCTGGATGGCATCAAAAAGGTCCTCCATAAAAGAATATAATAACATTAAAACAGAATCCACCCACTTAACCCTTGATAAAAAATTGCACCTCTTCTCCACATCAAACAATAATACAGGAGGAAGAAAAAAAAAAGTTTAGGAAAGTAAAGTACACCAGGTCGGTACAGGAACTAAATGAGTGAAAGTTTGTTTCCAGAAGTGTAAAGCATTACCTTGGATGAACTTCTTACATTTCTAAACAAGCTCAAGAGACAACATACCATATATCGCACCTTCAGGAGGCCCGTGTTTCTTTTCAGTTGCGCTGCTCAGCGATGCGCCCAAGTCAGAGTTATCAGAAAACAGTAAGCTCCTAAGAGACGTGTCCGACTTTTCCATTGTTCCAACAGCAACTGTGAGCTTTGTTTATGACCACAACCTCTCCTCACTGGGTCGCCATCCTTGAACAGCAATAGGCGGAGAAGGAGCGATATTGTGTTGCCATTCCTGTTTAAGTTCAGTCACACTGTTAGGTCACAGAAGACAAGCTCTTTCTCTGAAAAAGGGAAAAAATAAAAGTTCGATAGATTTCTTCATGGTGTGTTTTTTTTTAAACTTATACACGTGCACAGATTCTATAGTCTTCAACTGCAAAATAGCCACCAAATCAGTGCTTCAAGAGCATAAAAATTCCATGCTGACAATTAAAGGATCATGTTATTATGATTGTGAATAATGAGTAATTAACCGAGCACCAGTATATTTTAGAAAAAGAAGCTCTCCGATTTTGCATTAAATTTCTTTTTTAAGGAAAAAGGGGAAAAGAACTGAGCTGCACAGCCATGATTTACGTTTAAGCTTCTTCATTCATATTGATCGCACTCTTTACATTGACAAGAGCAGAATAAGAAGGGCAAAGCGATCCTGCTTGATGTGAGGGAGGGGTGATTCACTGACTCTGCCCCTCAAAAACACAAATATATACACATTATACACACACGTAACGTAATTATACACAACAAACAACCTGTGTCTGTGGTGTAGCGGTCAGGCACTCCGCTGTCTCGCGTGTATAGAAGACTCGTGTTCTATTCCCGAGTAAGCAAGAATTTTTATCAAGTATTTCAATCTTTTTGCTTAGATGTATCTTTCTCTGTCAGGGTTGGCCCTGACAGCCAAGCTGGAGTAATAGAGGAGTGTGTGTGTGTGTGTGTGAGAGAAAGAGAGACACAGAGAGAGAGAGAGAGAGAGAGAGAGAGAGAGAGAGAGAGAGAGAGAGAGAGAGAGAGAGAGAGAGAGAGAGAGAGAGAGAGAGAGAGTTGGCCAAGGGAATGTTGGGGCGAAAGATGGGGTTGGCAGATAATTAAGATAATTGAGAAGAGATCATTAATCATGTAATGCCTTGGGTAGAATTATAAGAAGAGTAAAGAGTACAAATTAATATTTCAGTGTAGTGACTAAGGCCTAGTTACATGACACCTGCGTGCAAAAGTAGTCCAGTTAAACTAATGTTGTTTTACTATCAATGCGCACAGGCATATATGAGGCGCTTGTAAATAAACTTTAGATTCTAATTCGTGCTTAGTTCAAGACCCGACATCTCTACAATAGTTTGCTTCGTTTTTCATCTACTTTTTCCAAGCTGTCACATACTTTCTTTTCCCTAAAACTTTCTTTTCTATTGCCACTGTCACTGAATGTGAGTTGATCTTGCGTCTTGCACTATATCAAGACTGCGCGTGCTCTGGCGTGTTCTGAAGTGAGTAAATTTCCAGCGTTTAAGAGCGTCATTAAATCAGGCTTATCTATTTGAGCTCCTAAAGTTTAAAAATGTACTCACGTCTGCACGCCGAACATGCCTGAGCAGGCACAATATTACCAAGGCAAGCCCCTCAGAAACCCCCCCGTGGTACTTGCCTAGTTTTTAAATTTATACAAGTGAAATTTATTTTACTGCTCATTTTGTAGGATAGAAATACTGATAAAACATCAATATCGACATAAATCAGTATCGATATCCAATAGTCTTTGCTTACGTGTGTGATTTAGTGCTAGATTTAACGGGACAGCACTTGTTCAGGTGCCATATTTTGACTTTTGAGTTGAAAATTAAAATTCTGGACAGATGTCCGATGACCTCAACTTCAACCTGAACCTTTGATCTTGTAATTGTAACTTATTGTTTGATGACAAAAGTCGAGGCAAGATCTAAATCTAGATCTAGATTCTACAGATTCCCAGAAAATTAGATTATATTATTATCTATTATCTATTTGTGGCGGCCGAATTTTGCACTCAAAAGGCTTTTTAAAGGCTACATCGATCGACATGCAGTTTTCGCCAAAAGATTCTTTAAAATATTCTCTAGACCATGACGCCTTTCGTTTTTTCAGTTTTGAGAGTTTTGCTGCAAAAAGCTACACATTTCTTTATTTCGTCGATCGCTTTTGTAGGCCGACGCTTTTGTCTTTGTAATTTTAGAAAATCTGCCAAACGTTTGTTTACTTCAAGTACGTCTTACTTCCGTTTGATACTATCGCGCATTGTCGCGCAAAACTGAGCCGTATAGGCTAGATCTAGCCTCATGTTTTCTTTTTTTACTCGGTGCTAAATTCGACTGTGATCCTTTCGTTTGATGCCCATCATCGCTTTTTCTTGACTCCGCGACAGCTACAGAGTTGAAAGTTGGCAAGTACCTGCAAAAAGATAGATCTATAGGTCCCCATGACGGAGCCCGCTTTTTGATTAGAAGGCTAATTATTTCCTGAATTTAGAAAAATATAGATCTAGATCTAGATAGATCTATTTGACAAAAAGTTCCCTTCCTTCTTTGGCCTTTGTGATTATTCCACAGAGAAATAAAACAAATCTGTGTAGCTGTCGGAAGTGATATTTCGCGAGGCGCATTTTGTTTTGAGAATATAGACTAGATTCTAGATCTAGATCTAGTCTAGATCTAGATCTAGATCTAGATTCTAGACCTAGATCTAGATCTAGACAACATGTAGATCTAGATCTAGATCTACTGAACTGTACAGTTGACAACACAGTTGAGTTTAGGCCTACTTAGAACTTTCCATTTTTACACGGACAGTCAAAATTCCAGTGCGGTCACTGATTAGGAGGCCAAGGCAGTAATTTCAGCTCTAATTTTGCAATGAATGTAAATAATATACAAATCGACAATTCTTAGATCTGAACATAGACATATACTGATAGTGATATAGGATCTTTGAGTGTCGGCGACAGATCAAGAAAGAGATAACCAATCAATAATCATAATCTTACACTGTGTGGTCGGTGTATTCCCGTTGGTTGAGGATAATTTTATGAAGTCAAGTCAGTCTGAAGATGCGGCTTTCCAATCCTCAGACAAAGTGAACAGAAAACCCACACAAAACACACGAGAGAGAAGAGTCAAACCATTCAAATAGTTACTTTCGATAGCAAAAACGACTGTGCAAGCGGTCACTGAATAATACACTTCCGAGAAGAGAGACACTCGATGGACACAAAAGGTGCACCGTGAAAGAACCCATGTTTTGTACACCCACTGGGCTATTGACGCACACCCGCTCGTGCATTGCAACGTGATGTTTGCCTTTCGGGAAGAGGTGGGCAAAATCCGAGTAAATACCCGGTTAACCGGTTCTTTTCTGACCTGTATAAAAGACAAGGACTCTGGTCTCAACAATATCATTAAAAATTACGTGTAACGTAACTTGTATTTGACATTATGTTTGTACTTGTACTTGGATTAATATTGTTCGACAAAAAAACTCTCAATAATCATACTCGAAAGCTGCTATTTTCTTTAGATCTCGTCCGTTTCTGAGCAGTTCAGAGGTTGCATAAATACATGTATATATAGGCCTACATGTAAAGGTTATATGACGATCCTTGGCAGTGTAAATTTGTAAGCAGAGAGACAAAAGTTGAATAACTGTAGTCAGACCCTAGGTTTTATTGGGTGCTAGTGCTAGTCCAACCATTGCTGTTTGCGTTTCCTGACCAGAGTGCTGACTTTCCCACTCTGGCCAGGAAACGCAAACGGCAATGGTATGGACGCAACACCCATTCATCCGGCCTTGCCAAGATATTGATCCAGCAAGGCAGCGTCCAGGGGAAAAGGAGCAGAGGCAGACTGAAGAAGAGTTGGGAGTGGACATCAAGGAATGGACAGGCCTGGAACTCAAAGACACGCTCAGGAAAGCTGAAGACCGGAAGGAGTGGAGGGAGCTGGTGACCAAATCTTCAAAAGCGCCCTGGCGGACATCTAGTTTACGGGATAGGTGAAGGTGAAGCCCAACTGACGGTCTACCTTGATATTTCTGTTCTATTTGCTGGTAGGGCTTACCACAGGAACAGTCTGACAACTTTCTTTTTTTTTTGTTTTTTTGTAAGTGTTTATGGTGAATGGTGCTCACAACTGCATAAGGTCATATGAGCGCGCGGGACACATTAAACATTTTCGGTTGGTCGGAAATCAAGAATTTTGCCTGGGTGGTGGCCGAAGCCTACTCTTATCGATTTTAGACCACCAAGGGATCTTTAATGAGCGCAACTTACACACTGGACCTCTGAGATTTGTCACCCTTGTCCGAGAAGGCTAGGTGTAGATCTCTCCTACCAGAAGGTCTGGAGTGTGGCTGAGAGACAGCAGTAAGAAGAGGCCACGGAGTTAGTAGCAGTAGAAAGGCTGCAGAAAGAGTCAGTTGCTCAGAGGAGAAGGGGGGGGGGCAAAGGAGGTGAGGGGTGGTGGCAGAAAATGGAGACGAAAGCAGGCGACAGAACACTGCTAGAGAGCAGGAAAGGAGGTGAGGTGAAAGACGACAATTTAAGAAAAGAAATTTTTTTGGTCGCTACCTGGATTCGACACCGGGACCTTTGAGTAAGAGGCGAACACATTAATCTCTAGGCCCAGAGAGCCCCCCCCCCCCCCCCACCAGTTTGACAACTGATCTACTCGACGGTCAACTATTGGATTCTGCTGCAATCCACAAAACAAACATGTTCCCTTCCGAACGGTCATTGGCTGTATTAGAATTTAATAATAATGTGGTTTCAGCGTGGCCCCTCACCCCCCCCCCTTTCCCGATTTTGTTGAGACAAGTGCAGATTATGTTAGAATGTTGAAGTGATAGATTAAAATTGATCTACGCAGGCCTTACAATGAAACCAAGGAGGGTGCAAAATTAAATAGGTCCGTGGATGAAAAGCTTTACTGCGGTAGATCGTCAACCAGGTGTGACTTGCGGTAGACCTCATTATTGTCAAGTGTACCGGCACCCTATATACGGACACGTTAATTTTATTTTTGATATTGTGATTATATTAAAGTATAGCGCACAGCATTCCAGTCGCATTTGCATTCGGCTGGGCTTGATATGTACCTATAGATAAATATGTATGTATTTCTTCTGATTTTTTAAACTTTTGTAATAGGTCTTTAATTAGTTAATTAGTTGACTCGTAATTCAGCAGCCTCTACATCATTTGAGCTTCGCCCTCAACACGAGACAAAGACTCGTTTCAAACCGGTTAAGTATAATTCGAGGTAATTCAAATCCGGTTCAAGCTGGAAACGGAAACTATCCAGCTCTCTGGCGAAGCGGCGCTGATAATAGTAGGTCAAAGATTTCGTCTCTGATTGGCCGCGGGAAACAGGTCGACTCTGCCAGTTCACACCAGTCCGTCCTCACTCACGAGTCCACTCGTTCTCAAACACGCACAGTACGGTACCGTATGGTCAGTTGGAAGTGGTGGAGTCCACCACATCCGTCGAGGTCACTGCTTCTTTGCGGGAGGCTATGAAATCTTAATGACTGTTGTTGTGCTATTTCGTGTTGTTGTTGGGTTAGTCCTTGAATAGTAGGCCTACTTCATGAAAAGCTAGACTAGAACGATAACGGCTATATTTTTAAAAAGACCAATCTTGCACTCATTTCCAGTTGGCCTCCTACAGCTCAGTTTTCATCAGAAAGACATTTTTTCAATGTTCGACTTTTTTTTTTTTTTTTTTTTTTTGGGGGGGGGGGGGGGGGGGGGGTGTACTGTCTAAACAAATCCAGCGAAAGTTTCTTGTATTTCGACATTCAATTTTACCGTTAAATATCTTTAGGCCTACTTATAAATCAGATATCACCTCTCTCTTTCATTATCGTGTTATTGTGTCTTTAGCCTACATATTACATTTTGTAACCTACACCCCCCCCAAAAAAAAACCCAAAAAAAACAAAACAAAACCCACACACACATACACAAACACGTGCGTTTGCGAAAACACACGCACACACTCTCTCTCTCTCTCACTCTCTCTCACGCACGCACGCGCTCACACAAACGCACATACATACACTCAATACACACACACACACACACACACACACACACACACACACACACACACACACACACACACACACACCGCCGCTCCCGCACACTCATATTATTTCTTCTTTGTGTGAGAGTGAGTGGGCATATGGGCTGTTTCCGCTCTCTTAAAATTTATTTTAGGCTCGGGTCGTTTCCAGCCTCAGCCCAAAATGGCAGCTGAATCCAAACAAAATGAAACAAAACACAGTTCCTTTCTGGGCTACATTTCTTTTTTTTTTCCAATTTTTTCTTTTATTTTTTGGGTTGTCGTCCCCCCTTTTTTAAAAAACCTGTGGAAACACGTGAAGACGCTCGTGGTGAGGAGAAAAAGTCATAGGCACATGATTTCCGATACAGCGTCTATTTGAGATACCATGAGATACGAACGTGTCTTATAGGTGTAGCACACACACACACACACACACACACATACCACACACACACATGCATGCTCACGCACGTACACACACATATACACACATGTATGCGCGCGAGCACGCACGCACGCACGCACACACACACACACACACACACATATATCCCCCCCCCCCCCCGTCTCTCTTTCTCTGTCAGTCTGTTTATCTGTCTGTCTGTCTTTTTCTCTTTCTCTCTCTCTCTCTCTCTCTCTCTCTCTCTCTCTCTCTCTCTCTCTCTCTCTCTCTCCCACTCACAAACACTCACTCTCTCTCTCTCCCCGCCCCTTCATCTCTCTCTCTCTCTCTCTCTCTCTCTCTCTCTCTCCCTCTCTCTCAGGTTTCAAGCTGACTACTCTTTCTAAGTGAAGAAGAAGAAGAAGAAGAAGAAGAAGAAGAAGAAGAAGAAGAAGAAGAAGAAGAAGAAGAAGAAGAAGTACAACAACAACAACAACAACAGTCACAATAACAACTTGTAAAGTAATCCGTAAAGTACGCCGCCAACACAGTAAAATAGCATAATACATGTATTAATAATATTAATACAATGAAAATTGAAAACGATCTTTTCCTGTTCCACTGTTTGACCCTGGATCGACACGTGATGTCCCACCTGCGGCCGTGGAAGGGCAGCTATATTTATCTTCTCCACCATGTAAATTGTAAATAGATTATTTTGGTCTGCTGCTATTCCATTTTTGCTTCTTCAGTGAACGCATTGGCTAATGATTTTTGTGTACCGGCAGGCCTACGGTAGGCTACTCTTGGTAGGCAAGATTAGGAAGTCACGTGTGGGACGACGTGTTGCAGGGACCGACAGTAAGTAAGTGCTATAGGGGCACGCTAAAGGTTAAGGGCACGCTTCGTATAGATCTAGATCTACCGCTTAAGGCACGCATACAAGATTACTGGTGACTGAAAACAGAAAACAAAGAATTAAACGTTAATATATTTTTTCTCCGTAGTAATTATTTTGTGTTGAGGGATAACCAAACTCAAACGGAATTAAAAAGGAGGGTGAAATAAAAACAGGAATAACAAAAAACCCTTACTAAGTCACCTCATCTCCAATCTAATAAAAATACCAATTTCACATAATTTATTAATAGGTCTCTAATATTAGCTTTTAAATTATTTGCAGTGACGAGCCTCACTCGAGATTCAAGGCCACGATAAATATCTTGAATGTCATCATGCCGTTTGACCCGACCTACATCATTCTTCTAAGGGAGACAACCAGGTTTTACATTCACTACACAACAAGAAACAATGATCAGCTCCCTTGATTTGATCTATTTCCAAGACCATTCACCAACGGGCGAACACATTTTTATAATTTAGAATGATTATTATTATTATACACGTAGGCTACATAATGTAGGTCAAACTCTAAAGTGAAGCTAGCTCAAATCGTGGTCGACACTCGACACGATCTTGTGATAGTACCTCAATCACTGGGCATTCATTTACTTAACAATCCATTGTGTTGCTCTTCACATGAGATTCAAGACCTGACTTTTTAAGCCTTATGCAGTTGCGAGCGCCGTAAAACCTCTACTAAAACTAAAAAAACATGAGATTCATAAAGAATCAGGAAATGATATAATAATAATATACTTTTACACTCCATTGGTTTGAGTTTTTTTGTGTGGTTTGGGTAAGTGTTTTACGACGCTCACAACTGCATAAGGGACACATGAAACAGTTTCAATTTGGTAGGAATTAATTTTGAATTTTGCCTGGGCGGCCACCGAAGCTTACTCTGATCGATTTTGGATAACCAAGGGATCTTTAATGTGTGCAAATTGCACACAACACCTCCAAGATTTTTTAATCCGAGAAAGCTAGGTGTTAGGTCTTACCTACCCTAAGATCAGGGGTGTCGCTGATAAACAGCTGCGGCAGCAGTAAGGAGCCAAGGAGTAGCAGTAGAAAAGGCTGTAGAAAGAGTCAGAGCCTAGAGAAAGTGGAGACGAAAGCAGACAACAGGACATGGTTAGAGGTGAAAACAGAACATTTTAGAGAAGAAAATGTTCCGTCGCTATCAGGTTTCAAGTCTGGAACCTCTTGAATGAAAGGCAAACACCATACCTTTAAACCATGAGAGCCCCCGCTGTCATTACTGCGTATGCAGGCATTCACTTCATGATAATATGAGTAAATTTCAAGGGATGGGAGCCAAAATAAATCAGCCCTCCCCAAATCACTTTGCACCTCCTTACCTTGTATCGACTTGCGCCGCTATTGGCGTGGCCAGTATATGAAACCTCTTTTCTTGTAAGTACCGGTGATTTTAATTGTGTCTACTGCACCGCTTCGCCTCACCGGCAGTGTGGCCTTAGAATCTACATGCCTTTATATAATGCAATCAACAATATTCAAAGTCATTACTGAACTTTAAATAAAATAAAAATCCTTCTCAGACATGATCAGGCCAAACAAGTGTAGAGCTTAGAGGTAACTAATAGTACACCCAATAGGTATCATGCATCAAACTGAATTGCAAAATGGAAGGAATGTGGTGGGGGGGAAGGTGTCTTTGTTTGAACCACACAGGTCAGTTCTGAATCTAGGTTGTTTGGGGTAATTTACCGCTCTCCACCCATTTGTCAAAGTAATTTCAAAGATGGGGGATAGTTAAGTTTTTAGTAAAACTAAAAGTCTTACAGCACTTGCAACACGAATAGATCAAAAAGTGCCGGAGACTGGAGGTGTCACTAGAGAGTAACAAACAAAAAAAAGTAGGAGGATAGATAATAACAACAGATGTTTGATAATCATAGGAAAGAAAGAGCAAATCACACCAGAGCACCTGTCAACCACCCACAGATGGGGCTTAAATTAGAGGTCCTTTCGTTCTAAACAATCAAGCACTGAGCAGACCACAATCATTTCAGAAAAAAATCCTTTGACCAAGACAGAAAATCACAAAAGAAGACACAGAGTTGACAACTTAACATTTGAAATATATTTTCCATGTATATTGCTTTGCACAGGTACAAACAGCAGATACATAAAATAAACTTCACTCCTCAATAAAACAACTTTAAAAAAATGCATCATGCAGGATATAAACAAATTATGCAATTGGTTTTAGATCTGCAAATAACAAATATTTGAGCACATGTTAAACATTGAAGCTGAACACAGATAAATTCTGTCTACTGGAAATATAACACACTTTGTACTGTAAAACGTATTATATATATATATATATACCATAATTAATCACAAAAAAGAATACCGTTTATTAACAAGGAATGTCAACGCAGAATGCCCTTTACTTGTAAATATACGCAGAGCATCAGATTTCAGAGTAAGAACAAATTACAGGGAATAGAATAAAATTATTTGAATAAAGATTCACTTCCGAGTACAGAGTATATTTAGAGCCTAATGCCTCACATATATTTCTTTGACCAGACTGTCTCATTGTACAGGTGAATTTCCAATAAAAGGTGATTTGACGAATCCTTCATATTGTGGTAGAGTTAACCATTCCATAAACACATCCAACAAAAAACTCAGAAAAAGCAAAACAGCACATTAGGCACTTGTCAAAATAATGAAATTGAGGAAACTGACATTTTCCCATCAACTGGGCAATTTTTATCAAATTTTTCTTAGGGGGGGCTCGACCAACACCTTTTATGTCCATTTGAAAACACATTTCCGTGCCGATTTTATTGTAAAATGTCGAGGAAAGGCACAAAAAAAGTAATTTTGCAGTTCCCAAGGACACTCAAGCTTTGGAAGTCACCAAACTTTGGTGGCCATTTTCTTGCTAATTTTACCTCTGACACCAGGAGAACCCCTACCTTTGTCAATTGCAAATAGCTAGACTTGTATTTCACATAGAAGTTATTTTTTTTTCACCAAAAGCAAGGTAACTACAGGTTTTAAGAAGATTATACCAATAACTCCATATGCCCAAAAATTGATGAGTCCCTGATTCCACCATGTCATGACGCAGTCTATTTCAGGGAAAATCTCCCATACCCTGATGGGATTGATCTGGCAAGTTCCTCTGATCTTTGGTTCTTACATTGACTGCCAAAGGAGAAAAAAAAGTACTATGTTAATTAATAACAATAAAAACAGATTCATACGTGAATATAGACCTCTCTCTTGTGGATGTATGGGCCAAAGGCCTTTCGAATCAATAAAATCTTTAAATCTCAAATCTATTTCTTTCTTTCTCTCTCTCCCTCCCTCTCATACAACAATATGACCAAACACATACTATAATCAACACTCACATTACTGGGTTATTACTCTACTCCAGTGTTGAATTCATAGAGACCGAGCCTGCCACATATGGCTAGTAGTTTCCACAATGGTGAGCGCTGTGTCATATCAGACGAGTACTGTGTTCACATTTTATCTCTCCTGAGATGGCCATAAAAAGAAATCAAAGGTGGCAAGTTTACATAAACAAAATTTAATGAATTCTCCATTAAAGATCTCCTTCAGTCAGTGCAGAAATTGAAATAAACCATAATTTGTATTGTTTCCTAGACTATTGTATCAGAAGTAAATTCTGTCATGTTGTGTTCTAGTAGAGAAGTGTATTTGTTAAAAATTAATCATTTTAATGTCATATCCAGAAAGGAAAATAGTGCAGATTTTTTTCCTGAGATAGCCATAGAAGGAAATCAAAGGTCGCAAAGGTTTGCATGAACAAAATTTAGTGGATTCTCTGTCAATGATCTCTTTCACTTTCACTCAGTGCGGTAATTGAAATTCAGAATAATTTGTGTTTTGTTTCTTAAACTATTGTATCAAAAATAATTTGTCATGTTGCATTCTAGCAGAGCAGTATATTTGTAAAAAATAATCATTTTAATGTCATATCCCGAAAGAAAAATAGTGCATATTTTTTCCTGAGATAGCCATAAAAGGAAATAAAATGTGGCAAGCTTGCATGAACAGAATTTATCCAATTCTCCATCAACGAATTCCTTCATTCAAAGCAGAAATTGAAATAAACCATAATATTTGTAGGCTTATTCTGTTTCCTAAACTATTGTATCAGAAGTAATTTCTGTCATGATGCGTTCTGACGGAGCAATATATTTGTAAAGAAAAATCATTTTAATGTCATATCCTAAAAGTTTATAAAAAGTGCTTTCAGTAAAAGTGTCGTGTCTTTGGCTTTTGCTTATTTTAATCTACAATGAGTAGGGAAAAAAAAAAAAAAAAAAAAAAGACTTATTGGCCACTATTTTTGTATGGGTTTCCCCAGTAAAATCAATTCCAAACAGCTTAACATATACTGATGTGTCAATCTGGAACCGAAGTCTGCAGTCTAATCGAGTCAAAATGTTTCGGTTTGATTTGAACAGTGTGTCTTTTACGTTCTCAGAGGGCAATATTTTAATTTTATATCTGGCATCACGGTCAAAACAGGTGCTCGTCAAATTAATGAAAATTAAGAAACTGATATTTTCACATTCAGATATTTTTATGGAATTTCTTTTTATTTAAATTAATTTTTTTTTGTTGGGGGGGGGGGTTCAACACGGTTCATATCCTCTATAAACCCATCTGCGTGGATTTTACTGGAAAATTTTAATCAAGGCACAAAAAAAAAGGTAAACTTGTAGCTTCCAAGGATACTCCAGTGTGTTAGCAAAATACAAACAAACTGACACAATCTTTCCCTGCCTTTAGCCAGATACCCATTCCCACCTGAGTGAAGAGAGTAAAGTGCTTTTCTCAAGGACATAATGTTGGGCTCTTGTCAGGGTTCGAACCCCTGACCTTTCATGTATGAGCCTGACAGCATAATCACAAGACCACAAACGCTATAGAAAAGATACCCCAAAACATAAAAAGCACTCTTGTGACCTAATAGATTTGAAAGTCCTGATTTTACTTAAATAAAATATAATCTCCGCTTGGCACAATTTTTCATGTAAATACATCTGGATTATTGACTTGTTTTTCTATCCAGAAAACATCCTCGTCCTCCTTCACAAATGTTTGTTGTCCACAAATTCTTTTTCCTCCTCTATTATTTTCTTGACCTCAGCGTTTGATTTGGCCAAGTCTTGATGAAGGGTCCAGATGCACGTCTGGCCGACACCAGTCATTGTCACCAGTCGGTATCCACGAGCCTCCAACTTGTCCAGCACAATTCTTGGCGGATCCTCTGTTTTGTACTGGGCACTGGCGACAAGAGATTATTAGAGTGCATTTATTGTCATTAGATATTTTACCATATTATCATAATCATCATTAGTGTAAATCATCAAAATTATTGTTTAAAAAACCCCCAAAACAAACAGTCACTTTTTTCATTATTCTAAACAGTCTAACTCTAATAGTAGTAACTACAAAATTAATAAAATGTATTTGTTTATTCATAACTTACCAATATTTAGTACCAAATCAGGAGCCAGGACCAAACACCCCCACTACAATATGGTACCTTAAAAATAAATGTTCATCTCGTGATTTCATAGACATACCACCAAGGATCTTCAAAATAGCGTCAATGACTTCACTTTTCACATAACAAAAGAAGATTTTGCAAAAGAAGTCCCAGTGAAAAATAATAACAGGTGAACATCGTGAAGAACACACTGACAGTCCTGTTGGCTTTTTCCAGTTGTCAAACACATTCTTGCTCAGCGAATACATGTCACAATTATTTGTCTGTCCAAAATGGGCAACTTCATTATATTATTATATTTCAAGGGCAAACCGAAGCTTTACATGCACATGAAATATATTATACGTGTGTTCATTCTGCATTATAATACTGAAGATATAAAACAAATCTTTTTTTAGCATGCATTGCCATATTTTGTAATAAATATCGGTTCAGTGCAAGAGTGTGCCTTAAAGTCACAGACTTCTGAACATCCATTCATTTGAAAGGCTAAAAAAAAATGACACCAAATTAAAAGGCAACAACACATTAGATCCTACATTCAACAGGACGTGGGAAATCGGACTTGCTGGGCAGAAATCAAAGCAGAATGGAAATTTGTCTAAAATTTAATGATTAAAGTTCATGTTGTTTCATGGAATATGATATTCCTCGGCTTAGCAGTTTCAAATAATAAGATACCATGCAGATCTCCTCCTTTCTAACGATCACATACAGATTTCAACACAGTGCTCTGTTCGTTTAACAACCAGACTATTGGTCTCTCCTCCCTCCCTCTCTTTCTCCCCCCCCCATACGGAAGTACCTTTCTCACTCTCTCTGTCTCCCTCCTCATCTCTCTTCCTCCCTTCTCTCTCCCCCCCCATCCCTTCTGGAAAATTAGAGAACAAAAGAGCTTAAACAGACTCACAAATTGTTGCCTAATACTTTCACCAGCGATGCCTCCAGATACTCCATCAACTCTGGGTCACTCCATTCATCTCCAACAAATGTTGGGCCGACATCCTGAAAGAACATACAATGTTGACTTGAGACTAAGATGATTTAGTTCACCCAAACGCCTTATTTTTATTTTGTAATTCTTTCTTTATTCAGAACACCCACCGTCTCTTGACCCTTCAATTATTCTCTGTTTTTTCACCATTTAATGTAAGATTCAGAGAAGGCCTAAAGTGATGTGGATGGAACAAATGAGCCAGCAAATTGATTGATAGAGAAAGCAGTTAGAGTTGTAAAACACAGTAGTCTTCTGCACACTAAGGAAAAAACTGACTGCAACTGATGTGTGTGTACGTGCGTGCATGACACGTGTGCGTGTGTGTGTGTGTGTGTGTGTGTGTGTTTGTGAGTGTACGTGGGTGTGTTTGTGTGTGTGAGTGTGTGTGTGTGGGAGCATGTGCGCCATCGTGGTGAAATCAGGCACTTTTGTCAAAATAACAGAATCAATACTTTAATATTTTTTCCATCATTGAGCAAATTTTACCATTTTTAAAGTTTTGAGCTCTACACCTTTAAGTCCATTTAAAGACAAATTTCTATGTATAAGTGGATTTTACCAAACGAAATGTAAATTTGCTCTTCCCAAGGACACAATAGCTTTGGAAGTCACAAACCTTTGGGGGCCATTTTCTCACTGATTTTTCCTCTCACACCACCTCTTTCAATCAGAGATACCTCAGCTTCTATTTAAGATAGAAGAGTATTTTCTTTTCATTGTAAGCAAGACAAATGAACAAGCTTTAAGACAGTTAGTAAGTCACATGGAAATGTGTTGTATATTAACATAAAAGGTGTTGAGCTTTAAAAATTAAAAAACTCAATAAAAATTGACCAACTGGCGAAAAAAAAAAGCCTGTTTCTTTGATTTAATTATTTTGACGAGCGCCTGATTTCACCATGACGGCTCACATTTGTACAGATCTTTTTTTTTTTGTAAAGTGTTTTACGGCCCTCGCAACTGCATAAGGTCATATGAGCCCGCGGGACACATTTAATATATTCTTATAAATAATACAATCACGAGAAGTCATCCCTATTATTCAGTCAACTTACCAAACCTAGATCTAGCGTTTTAAGAAAAATAAGGAATAATTAATGGAGTGTTATAACTGATAGCCTACAGTTCGTGTATTTTGTTGTAGATGCATTCGGGCACTAAAATTGGTTTGCACTTTTTCATAGAGAGACATCAGGGTAATTTTGCCAAACTTTATAAAGAAAATATGCGAATATTCCCAATTATATTAGACACATAAAGCTGTATTTGGAGGAATTACTTCATAGTGAATTGTATGCCTGATGGGTAAAGTTGCAAAATTACAGCTTCCTATTATACACGCAGATACCATCTTTTCTGAGTATCTGCACCAATGTTATGTCGTTCATGTTCAAAAAGTTCAACAGTTTTTGTTGTGCTTTTTATTTTATATTGATTTTTTTTCATTCACACTTGTACGAAAAAATTGACAATTTAGCATTGTCGACTAGGGCTGTACCCCGGTAGCAAACCCGCTCGTGCTCGCAAGCCCCTAGTTCAAGTCACAAGCCTCAAATCACTAGGTCAAATCATCAAATCAAATCACCAGCATGATAAGTTGAGTCTAGCGCAAACTGTAACCTCCTTGGTCTAGTCTAAACTTCCAAGTCCACAGCAACTAGCAATCCGCGAAGCCACTCGTGTCAGACCCCCTCATCATCCCCACCCTGCTTGCAATCCGCGAAGCCACTTACGTCAGAAAAAGATAGAGGGGGAGAGCGAGAGATCCCGCCCACAGTGTCACTGCACGGCGTGGAGCTGTAGTTTGTTCGATTAATCGAAGGCTTGCGCAAAGCAGCGGACAGCCCTCAAGTCTCAAATCCCGTCCGCAGACACAAGTCCCACAATTCACACAGTTCTGATTTGCGCTAGGCCTAGTGAATTGTCCCAGGATAAGCTTGAAACCTGACCTGCTGACTTGTGCTGTCTCGCTACAGCGAGCGAGCAGCAGGCGCAGGACCGCTCGATGGCGCAGGACCGCTCGATGTGTTCAAACAGCAGTACCGCTCGATGTGTTCAAACAGCAGTACCGCTCGCTGTGTGAACTTTGAACCGTGGAGGAAGGGAGAGGCTGGGCTTGTTTTGGTGCAAGACGTAGAGAGCTGAAGTTATTTTTAACTTCCCGCCGTTGATTAGCTAAGCGAGTGGATAAGTGAGGGGGAGCATGGTATTGTAGTAACAGAGACCTAGGTTTCTGGTAGTAATAAGAATAAGTAGACTTAGACTACCCTAGAATGGAAAACTCCAGTGGTCGTTGTGATTGGCTTTTGTATCGTATATATGTAACCTATTTTGTAAATGAGTTACACTCAAAGTGACATAATAAATACAGAACATTTAGGAGATGGGCTAGGCCTACTTCAACCCAATGTCAGGGCCAACCAGGGCTGAGAGGGAACAACGTCCCAGCAGAAAAACGGAGGTTCTCAGTAAAAATATCTCCCCATATGGGAATCGAACTGAGGTCTTTTGCGTGTGACACTGAAGCGCTTGGCTCGTGCACATTAAAAATAAACAGGCCTTAACATCGTAAGAATAGCCGATCCAATATTAATTTTTAAGTGCATTGAATAGAGCTTTTTGTTTTTTACAACCGAACTATGAAAAAAAACCATCTTGCACTTTTGGTGCAAGCCTCTCAACGTAAATAACCAGAAAATCTTCTGTAATATGTACTGAGCCCACTGCCACGAGAGTTCGCAACGTCACGACACATTACAGCACGACTGTCCGCGAGTCACAACTCACCGGAAGTTCCCCCGGTAGCAAGCGGGAGGCAAAGCAAATCACAAGCCTGCCCGCAAGCCTCTAGCGCAAGCCGTCCGCTGCTTTGCAAGCCTTCGATTAACCGAGCAGAATCCAGCCCTATTGCCGACTTCAGCGCGTCTAACGAAATAACCAGACAAGTTACACTATCCGTGGTTTTTTGGGTCTCAAGAGCAGAAATGTGTGCTTTTGGTGCATTAAATGATAATTACCAAAAATACAAGGATACACCTAAAACTGTACGTTGAAAAGTACCAAAAATGAAGTCAGCCCAGACAGAGCAGCAACAGGGAGCTGACCCCCCGTGACTCCGACGTGATAAGGCGCTCGGCGGGGAACCCCCCGCTACAACTAAAATTGCACTGCCGGTGTGCCGAGGCTAAGACTTAGGTGCGTGATAACAATGCGAGTGTTGGTCAGAAAGGAGGCCGCTAATAGGTGGCATCATATGGAGCAGTTCGCCCTGCAAACGACTTCATTGAATCAGTGCTTGTTCATTTTTATGTGTTCGTTGAATCCGAGTTCTTTTTATTGATTTTAATTAATTAAAAAAATCGGGGAATCCAACTCCTTTTGTTGAATCCCAGTTCGTTGAAACCGAGTTCCACTGTTATAAACAATTATCTTTTAATAGTCTACTAATTAACAAGTAGGCCTAATAATAAAACTAGATCAAGATCTAGACCTAGATATTCTAGGCCTAGATTAAATATTAGAAGGCTACTTCTATTTCTATTCTATTTAAAACCAACGGAATGTCTACGTACACGGTAACTGGGCACCTAGCCTCAGTGTCTACGTACATGGTAACCAGCAACCGGGCACGTAGTCTCAGTGTCATGTACACGGTAACCGGGCATGTAGCCTCAATATCTACGTACACGGTAACCGGCAACGGAACGGGGCATGTAGTCTCAGTGTCACGTACACGGTAACTGGCAACCGAGCACGTAGTCTCAGTGTCACGTACACACGGTAACCGGGCAGTTCAGAACTCCAAGTTCAGTTTTTGTCATCCGGTGTTGTCTTCATCCACACCCCTCCCCCGACTGTACCTTTGAAAAATATCAATAATCCCCCCCATTCCGAAGCCCTATACTTCGCAGTGCAAGACTTTGAATGAACTTCGGTGACCCCAACCGGTACTCACAATGTGATGCGCATGCACAGGTTCACTGACCGGTCACGATTTGTATGATTTTCTTTTTTTTCAGCAAGTGACACTACAGGACAATATTGATTTATTTTCATTCCGGTTACCGTGTACGTAGATACTGAGACTAGGTGCCCGGTTACCGTGTACATAGACCATACTGAGACTAGGTGAGACTAGATCTAGATCTAGGTGCCCTGTTACCGTGTACGTAGATCACTGAGACAACTAGGTGCCCGGTTACCAAACATTATAATAGATAGGAAGAAGCTAGCCGTACTTAATGACGGCTAGACTGGTGGGCGGCTAGACAGCTGGGCTAGCCGTACTTATTTTTAATATGACGGCTAGACTGACCAAAAAAAAGGCCTACTGAATTGTAAATAAATTTTTAGTTTGCAGTACCTAAAATATTTGTATTTGAGACGAAACCAGGCGCCTTAATGTCAGTGCATGTATTTTAAACCTGAATAATTACTTTCTAATGAGTCTAATGAGACCTGTTTTCTAATGCTAATATAGTAATAGGGCCTAATATAAAATAAGTATGGATAGACTGGCAGGCTAGCCGTACTTAAATGGCTAGCCGTACGGCTAGACGGCTCGGCTAGCCGTACCTACGGATGGCTAGACAATCAGGCTAGCTGTACTTATTACTGATGGCTGAATTGTAAATGAAATTTTTAGTTTGCAAAGCCTAAAGTATTTGTATTTCAAGCAAAAGGTGCCTTACTGACTTGCACATATTTTAAACCTGAATAAGTACTAAAGCCTATGTACGGCATACCGTCACGTACGTCATACCGTCAGTTGGCACGCATTTGGCCTAAAATTGGACAACCAGACAATTATGCGATAATCTGGAATGCTGTCTGCTAAACAATTCCGTTCAACATTGTTTTGTTTTCAAGTTCAACAATTTTGAGCAGAATCAGACACCTGTGTGAGCAGAAATAATCCATTTCATCTTCAAAGGTGAGAACCGCGTTCAGCCATTACGATAAGCTATTGGTTCTATAATCGTACCCGCAGGATTCGTTTCGCATTTTTATTCAGTTTATAAAGTGTCTAGTTACCGCCACAAACCATTTGCTGCTCTTTGTTGTAACAATTGGCGCCCGTAGGGGGGGTGACGTTATGGGGTACAATTTTTTGATGGATGTACCCCATACCGTCACCGTATTTTTTACACTTGAAAAATAAATATTTCTTGGGGAGTGCTTATTTAGGCCACATATGGCCTAAATAAGGTAAGGGAGGGGGGTTTAGCTTATTTAGGCCACATATGGCCTAAATAAGGTAAGGGAGGGGGGTTTAGCTTATTTAGGCCACAGGTGGCCTAAATATGGTAAGGGAGGGGGGGTTTAGCTTATTTAGGCCTAAATAAGGTCACCCTATTTCTTGACGGACTATGGGTGGCATCTTAGTACTTTAGATTTTTTAGTTTCTATGATTTGATATAGATCTAGAAGATCTATTTAGACACGGATTCATTAGAAAATGAGCGACTTTAGATTTTTCTTTTTTAATGTTTGAAACAAATTTATATGAAGGAAACTCTATTCCGTTGTATGTAATGATGATGATGATGTTCCTCTGTCCAATGTATACACATGTTGTGATGATGTTCTTCCAGCCACTGTTTCCACATGTTGTGATATTGTTCCTGCTCCTACTGCTTCTGTTTCAGAAGAAAAACTTGCTGGCCCTCCCCCAACTGCCCTTGTCTCTAGTTGTGAGTGGTCAGTTGATGCCCTAGATTTTTCGACCACAGATCTGGAATTCTCGGGGATCGAATGTACCTCCGAGGACTTCCTGGATCCTGCAGCAGAGTTTCAGCTACCTTTGGTTTCGACCCCAGCTCGGGATCCTGTGGATAACCAGGACTATGTCTATTGTCTACCTGAGCAGGCATTGAGACCATTGGAAGATGAAACTCTGGTGACACCCCAAGCCCCCCAAAAACTGCCTCAGGACAACACTTTTGCTTTTTCCTTGACAGTCTAATTGATCACGCCATTGCCACTGGATGGATGGCATCAGACATGCATTGGGTCCGCCGTTGCCATTGGCACAAAATCGAACTTAAGGAGAACGAGGGGGCATACAGAAAATACCTTGATCTAGATCTAAATCTAATGACTAATGAGACCTGAGTACTGAACAGGTTTGAGTCGATAGGGCCAAACCTAGAGTCTAGATCTAGAATCTAGATTCTAGAAGTACGGCTAGACTGGTACTTCTTCAGTACGGCTAGACTCTCACTCTCACTCTCAGGCATTGAGACCATTGGAAGATGAAACTCTGGTGACACCCCAAGCCCCCCAAAAACTGCCTCAGGACAACACTTTTGCTTTTTCCTTGACAGTCTAATTGATCACGCCATTGCCACTGGATGGATGGCATCAGACATGCATTGGGTCCGCCGTTGCCATTGGCACAAAATCGAACTTAAGGAGAACGAGGGGGCATACAGAAAATACCTTGATCTAGATCTAAATCTAATGACTAATGAGACCTGAGTACTGAACAGGTTTGAGTCGATAGGGCCAAACCTAGAGTCTAGATCTAGAATCTAGATTCTAGAAGTACGGCTAGACTGGTACTTCTTCAGTACGGCTAGACTCTCACTCTCACTCTCAGGCATTGAGACCATTGGAAGATGAAACTCTGGTGACACCCCAAGCCCCCCAAAAACTGCCTCAGGACAACACTTTTGCTTTGTCCTTGACAGTCTAATTGATCACGCCATTGCCACTGGATGGATGGCATCAGACATGCATTGGGTCCGCCGTTGCCATTGGACAAAATCGAACTTAAGGAGAACGAGGGGGCATACAGAAAATACCTTGATCTAGATCTAAATTTAATGAGACCTGAGTACTGAACAGGTTTGAGTCGATAGGGCCAAACCTAGAGTCTAGATCTAGAATCTAGATTCTAGAAGTACGGCTAGACTGGTACTTCTTCAGTACGGCTAGACTCTCACTCTCACTCTCAGGCATTGAGACCATTGGAAGATGAAACTCTGGTGACACCCCAAGCCCCCCAAAAACTGCCTCAGGACAACACTTTTGCTTTTTCCTTGACAGTCTAATTGATCACGCCATTGCCACTGGATGGATGGCATCAGACATGCATTGGGTCCGCCGTTGCCATTGGCACAAAATCGAACTTAAGGAGAACGAGGGGGCATACAGAAAATACCTTGATCTAGATCTAAATCTAATGACTAATGAGACCTGAGTACTGAACAGGTTTGAGTCGATAGGGCCAAACCTAGAGTCTAGATCTAGATCTAGATCTAGATTCTAGGTACGGCTAGACTGGTACTTCAGTACGGCTAGACTCTCACTCTCACTCTCGGGCTAGCCTAGCACTTTGACTTTGGTAGATAATCTAAAATAATAATATCTGTCTAAGGACTAAGACTTCTTTTCAAATAAAATAAGTCTAATAATACTAACCAGCCTGACTTGTGTGCTGATTATAACATGAGGCATTCTTTGTTTGTCTGTAGCACTTCAACAACGATGAATGATTCAAGCCGTTTATAAATGTTCTCTCAGTCTGAACGTAAAATGTAAACACGATGACAGATCTTGATCTTCTACCCTTGGCCTTGGATTGGAGACTGTTTCGTGTAGTTGTTGTGTATATTTCCTCGAGTTTGCAGAGAAACCACAGTACTTATGTTGTAACGTCAAAGTTTGTTTTTTCTAAGAGGCTAAATGTCCTGGTCACCTTTCCCCGCTATACTATACAATTTTTGCGATATTCACCATCAAACAGAGCAGAGAAATTTGAAAAATCCTCAAAATCCTCAAATCTGACTCAGTCTCCTTTAAAAATAGGGTAAATTTTTACTAATACACGCAGACATATATATATATATATATATAATGCTTTGATTTGAAGGCTAAGCTGCCATAATTTTTGCTGTAGAACACATGTATAGCCACTAAAACCCTTGCAAATCAATTGTTTTCAAGTAAATATCAATCTGAATTGCCAAAACATCAAATCATTGTGAAATACA